TATTTGTAGAATGAATGAATAAATAAAAGGACTGCTAATCTGAACTGAAGTGAGTGAAAACACAGGGCTCAAATTTTAAAGGAGCAAAAGCAAGAATCTTCAGAAACACCTTCCACTAATCCAACCCTACCCTCTTGCTCCCACTCTTTTCTTTCCTCTCCTCTCCAACCTTCCCACTTTCTTCCTTCCCTTTCTTCCTCCTCCCTCCTTTCTTTCCTCTCCCCTGCTTTTTTCCTTTCCGCCTTCGTTCCTTCTTTCTTAGAAGTGCACCTGTACCTGCTCCCAGTCAGTCGTGGGCCAGGTGCTGTATGCCGCCCACCTCCCCAACTGCTTTTCTCCTCCACCCACATTTGTGTTCTCAGTTCGCTGACCTGTTACAAGGGCCCAGGCTTTTCTTAGTCTCCTCAAGTCCCCCCCACGCCCCTGTGGAGTCCCCCACAGGCCCACAGGCACCCTTTCTCTGTGGACCCTCTCTGTGACAGAGCCTAAGGTCAGGATACCCTGGGAAGGGGAGAGTTGGCTCCTCCAAGCACCCAGCTAGGCCATGCAACTGCAGACACATCCGTCCTGCTGGCCACCAGAGCTCTGCAAACTTCTGCATGGGAAGTGTTTTGTAAAGTGAACGATGACACCTGCAGTCTGTTCAAACTTTTTTCTCCTTTGTAGTCCCACAAGCCTTATTAGCTTATCATGACCCTGGACTGCTTCCTTGCTTCCTCTGAGTTGCAGATCCAAGCAAATATTTGGCTCTCAAGCTTCCCTCAAGTTCTAACCCTCTGCAATCGCCAGGACATGAATCTGCTCAGGTTTGGTGGCAGCCAGGCTGAAGCCAGCATCACCCCCCTATGGGCTCATCTCCCAGTCATGAAAGAACATGCTTGATTCAATCACTACAAGGTGTCCATGGGTGTGGGAGGCCAGGCAAGGGCCTATCAGGCCTGTATCCTAGGGCTTGGGGTCTCTTGTGCCTTCCACCTGACAAAAGAAGCATTGTCCTGTAGGACAACCCCCGGGTTTGCTGGGAGCTGGCTCTGGATGGAAAGCATAGCCCACGTACTAGAGAGCCAGGGTTTCTCGGCTTGAGGAGGTGGCCGTCCCCAGGGCCAGAGGAACCCCTGCAGCATTCTCTGTGCTGCTGGTCTGGTCCCTGCTTTCTTCAGGGCCTGCCACATGTCAAAGCATCTGCCCCACTCTGGCTCCTCAGGCAGTTCAGGATCAGAAGGAACTCCACACTCCCTGTCCTCCTGGTGGCCCCTGGGGAGGGACCTGATCCACAGGCAGTAGGCATCTGTGCCCAGCAGGCCCACTACTGTGGGCTCAGTTTCCCTCAGCTCCATCCTCCTCCCCCAGCAGCTGTCACCACAAGCACAGCCTCTTCCTGAAGCCAACAGCTTCCCTCGCACCTCGGGAGGAAGTGCTAATGAGAGCACAGGAGAAGGGTGGTGCCTGCTGCGGTTGTCACAGTTTGCTCCTTCAGCTCTGGACTGAGGAGCTGTCACTGGCACCTCCATGAAGGTAGGGTGTGAGCAGTAGTAAAAAGTGGGGAAGGCTAGGCTCCAACAGCTGATCAGCAAAGACCCTGAGAAGCTGCAGCTGTCACACCTGCATGGGACGGAACAGCATTCGGTTGGCAGTCCCAGAACCAGGGCCCACACAGCCCCCATGGAGGAGAAGGTGAGAACCACACGGGTCCAAAGCAAAGTCTTCTGTCTGCATCACAGGGAAAGAGGAGACCACCAGTCCTGGAGCAAAGTGAGTCTTCCCGAGTCCTCAGCGGCCCTTTCCCAGGAACAGTGGAGAAGGATTTTCTTGTCAAAAGCCCCCACCTCATATCCTGCCCCTTCCCATGGGCCAAAAGAGGAGAGCAACCCTGAAGTGCTCTCCCCAGGACCAGGATCAGGCTGGGAAGAAGAATGCAGCGGCCATCCACACTAGTCTGGAGCTTCCTGTGTGCATGCCCTGTGCCAGGCACCAAGTCACACCGTGGCGGGGAGGCAAGAACAGCAAGACTCTCAGCAAGACTCCCTGACCAGAGCGCACTGTGTGTGGAAGAGACGAGACAGGTAGAAAGAGTAGTTATCAGTAAACACAGGCATTGCACAGAAGTCCTCACAGAGAGATGCCATTCTGGTGGCCAGGGACTGTGGGAGGTTGGGCTTAATCACTTGGTTCTTGCTTTGCTAAGGGGACTCAGTGAAGGAGGAGACTGGGATCCAGGAGGCTAGAAAGTGAGAAAGAAATGTTGGAAAAACATAGAGATGCTTGTACTGACGTGGAGGACAGTTTGCCCCACAGGCCTCAATTTCCTATAAAACTCATAAGATCGACACAACTGTCCATGTTTTTGGAGATGAGTTAACAGCAGGGACCGACAACAGATGGAGGCTGGCTCAGGGAGCCAGAGCTGGGAAGGCTTCGGGGTCTCACACGTTCTCGGGTTACAGTAGGAAGAGAAGTCAAGTTCCCAGAAGGCAAGGCAGCCAGGGGACAGGTCAGCTGGGAAGGAAGGGAAGGCTATCCTGGCCTGGCGTGATGCCCGGGAGAGGAGGTAATTCCAAGGGTAGGAGAAAGAGTTTTAAGATGATATGACACTGTAATAAGGCTTCAAGCTGTGGGAAAGTTACCATATGTCCCAGGGTGGGGAGAGGAGAGGGGGCAGGACACTGGCCCTGATTCTCATCTCTCCTGACCTGTGTATCCATGCATGAGTTACACTTCCTCACAGAAGAGCTGGGGAGATTATTCATCATTCACTGAAGCTAATGAGTAACCCCTCCTAGGTCTCTTTCTTCCCATCTAACTCCTCCTCTGGTTTGTCCTCCATATGCAGTGACACTAGGATAGCGTTTTTTAAAGTACAGTTCTCACTGTTTCACTCTTAAAGTTCTTCCCTGACCCCTTGTCACCCACCCACCAGAATTAAAGCTAACTCTGAACAGGGTGCATGACACCATGTAATCCCACCCTGCACATCCTCCCAATCTCATTGTGGTCACTGCCTCCTCACCACTCAACCTCCATCACACATACCTCCACACAGTTCCTCTAACACACCCTACTTTTTCTCATCTCAGGGCCTCTGCACGACTTCTTCCCATGTTTGCTTAGAGCTATCTCTCCAGCTCAATGCCAACAGATCTCTGTGACCATCCAGTCCAGTCATGTACTCCCACAGTATCTTCTGTCACCACTAGACGGGCACTCCTCATGTCATATGGCTACCACAGTCATCACCTGTTCATATGTCCGTGACCTGTTCAAGGATGGGACCAGATCGTATTTCTCAGAGCCCAGCACCCAGCACAGTGCCTAGCTCATTGCTGTCACTTAGAAAATGGTCACTGAATGAATCTGAAACTCAAAAGGCCCCAAAAGAAGACACCCTTTGGGTATCTATCCAGTTGGCAAAGCCCTCTCTTTCTCTGGAAACTGCCCCAGACACTGACTGGGCCTGAAGCAGTCATCCAACCCAAACTGGGCCAAGTGGATACCTTTTCAGAGCAGTGGAATTGGCTTCAAGGAGAGCAAGTTTGCTTCCGGCACTGTTACATGGAGGCTTTGGCACTTGGGCCTTCCATATCCCACCATTTAACCTGGGTAGAGCCGAGGAAGTCAGTTCTGAAAGACAAAAGTGAAGCGGCTTTATGGAGGACTTCAGGTGGGTTTCTGAGTCCCAGAGCCAGCTTTCTGCTGAGGTGATGAGAGATTCCTGCCTCTGTGTCCTGCCAAGGACCTATTTATTAATAACCTACCCCCTACTTTGTGTCTGAATTTCACGAGGTCCCTGCTCCTTGCAGTATGGTACTAACCACACAGGACACAACTTAGCGCTGGAGAGGGTTACTTGGGGTTTATTTTCTTTAAAAAAATGTTTAATAAATAAAGCATGCTCAGGCACAGACTAGACCTTGAAGCACACATACTCCTGCAGAACGAGCTGTGTAATTTGCAGGGCTTGGTACAAAATAAAAACGTGAGATCTACTGTTAAAAAGAGCAAAAAAAAAAAGTACTAGTTAAGATACTAAACTACAAAGTTTTTTCCCTTCTCCTATAGTACCCCCCTCCACTTTTTATGGTATTTATTTGCTATTTAGTGTCTTCTAAAAAGAAATTAAAAATTTAAATTATTGCCATGTTTCTTACCATTCATTTTTATACACTGCAATGCCCATGTGCAAAACCACTGAAATTACACCATCTGTGTTTCTTGGCCTCTCCCAGAAAGTGCCATGAGTTGACTACAGGAGAAGAGCTTAAGTCCTCCTAGGCTTGAACTATCCAGGAGAGGTCCTTGCCAGGCACAGAGTATTTTCCTGACTTTTGGGCCCAGCAAACGTGACAACCATCAGCTCCAGATCTATGCACTGTGTCTGGGCCAGGCACAGATGGCAACCACGATGCCTGCTCTGAAACTCTGCAGCATGGGCACCCACTCTGACCCTCCCTGCACGCACGCCAGGTTCTTGCCAGGGCAGAGGGTGGTAGGGTTCACTGGTAAGCTGAGGAAAGGCTGGGACTCAGGGGTGCATGAGGCTGGGAAGTAGGTGCCTAAGAACTATCTGGGGGAGGTAGGCAGACTTTGGAAGTCAGTAGCATGCATGAGCTTAGGCTCTCAGTCTCTGGCACAGACTCCAAAGTCCTATCAAGGCTTCACTTAGAAATGACAATTCCACGGATAAAAGCAGGAATTTCAAGGCTCTGGAGCACTAACCACAAGGGCTGGGCCTTCTGAATCCTGAGAGACGGAATCCTGCTTGATTCCTCTGACCAGATGCCCATGATGTTGGCCCTGTATGCATGGAAAGGGCCTCCATGCCTCATTAAACAACACAAGTACAGCTGCTGAGGCTGAAATGAAAGAAGGAAAACACACTGTGGTCCGGGTGTGGTGGTGTACACCTGTAATTCCAGCAACTGAGAAGCTGAGGCAGGAGGATTTCTGCAAGTTCCAAGCCATCCTGGTCTATATAGTGAGTTCAAGACCAGCCACGACTACACAGCAAGACCGTCTCAAAAAGCTAAAACAAAGAATAAAGGAAGAAACACATCACACAAGCATATTGGGGAAGCTTAGAATACACGGGCCTATAGGTCAAGAATATGATTCACATACCACAAGGGTACACTAACAAAAGACAGCTTCACTCCCCTACTCCCAGACCACAAAATGGCCCAGATGCTCTTCTCTATATGAGTGAACGGGAATTTGGTTTCTGAGCATTAATCTGACCTTTACTACAAAGTTAACAAAATATAATGTCTTAGCTATTCAGAGCTAAAGCTTTTTTTAATGGAAAAAGATAGGACAATAGCAAGACTTTCAAAGAGGAGAAGCCTTATGAGTTTCCTTTGCCCAAATAATTTAAGACAGCAATTCACCCCAGCTTCACTTTCCAGAGTCTCATACAAAGAACTTTCTGTTGGCGTTAGCTCCAAACAAAGCCTTTCGTATTTCTGGCATCTTTTGCCGGGCAGAGAGATCAAGTCGACTTTCCAGGGTATTGGAAACCTTTATCATCTGATTGCAACTATAGACCTCCACGCCTCCAGCTGCACTCCTAGCCAGGTATGCTTCTTGATCAAGCCTGACCTGCACTTGTTTTTGGGAGATCATCACGTACTCAGGAATGGCTTTTTGCACTGCAGCCTCCACGAGGAGAGAGTCCTGAGGCCTACAGCGCACAATCATCACGGGCTCCAGCAATCGGAGCAGAGTCTGCAGCACTAGTTTACTCAGGAGCTCCTGGTACATGAGTGGGTCTGCCACAATTCTACTGAGTCTCAGCTTTGCATCACTGAGCAATTCTGAGATGAGGTCGTCTTGTGCTGTCAGGACTTTCAGCCTTGCCTGATTCCTCATGGTGGACATCTGGATCTTCTTCTGCTGTTCTATCTGCTTCTCCTTCTTCTCATAATACTCCATAATCTTGAGTCGCTGGGACTGCACAAGGCGTCCTTTCTCAATGTTGAACTCCTCCTCAGCCTTAGCATCTATTTCCTCTGCCTTTTCATTGGCTTCCTGCTCAATGAAAGCCATCATGTGCTTAATCTGCTTCTGTACAGCAGCATCAGTTAGAGCCATGGCTTCTCTCAGAAAGTGGGGCGGGGAGAAAGCTGGTGGACCCTTTGGTTACTTGAGTGAGGGCAGAGTTTCGAGAATGTCTCTGAAGTTCCTCTTCCCCAGCTGTGGAGAACACAAGATGAGGAGAGAGAGAAAGTCAGAGCCTAGAGAGAAGAATCACAGAGACTATCTCCATAACTCTTATTTGACAGATGAGCAAACTGCAATCCAGAGAGGGAAAGCAGTTTGTCTTAGGTTATCCCTTAGGAGAACAGAGGCCTCCACCTGGATATCCAGTGGTCCATGCCTGATATACTCAGATTTTCATTATTAAATAACAATAGGGAGTTAGGGAAGACCTACTTTACAAGTTCTCTAGGCAAGGATGACCTAAGACTCAGACAGGAAATCAGTGGAATGGAAATACCCAACTAATACATAAATGGAAATAACATGAACAGTGGAGGTGGAGAGGACTGGGAAGAGTCACAAGAAATTGTGGTCAGACAGACAGACACACACACACACACACAAACTATATATGGGCAAAGAGCTTGAGTGGACATTTCTCCAAAGAATATATATACAAGAGGCCAACAGGTATATGGAAAGATTTTCAACATTACTAATAAATAGGGAGATGTGGATCAAAATTATAATGAGATATTATCTCATACCTGTTAGGATGGCCATTGTAAAAGAAAAAAATTACAAGTACTGGCAAGGATTTATAGAAACTGGATCCCCTGTGGACTGTTGGTGGGAAGGTAAAATGGTACAGCCACCATGGAAGACAGTAGGGAAGTTCCTCAAAAAATTAAAACTGGAATTACCACTTCTGGACATTTACCAAAATAATTGAAAACAGGATCTCAAAGAGAGATTTGCATACTCATTTTTATCGCTTTCACAACAGCCAAGAGTTGGAAACAACCTAAACATTCCTTGAAGGATAAATGGACAAAGAAAATGTAATATATGCCACCATGGAAGACAGTAGGGAAGTTCCTCAAAAAATTAAAACTGGAATTACCACTTCTGGACATTTACCAAAATAATTGAAAACAGGATCTCAAAGAGAGATTTGCATACTCATTTTTATCGCTTTCACAACAGCCAAGAGTTGGAAACAACCTAAACATTCCTTGAAGGATAAATGGACAAAGAAAATGTAATATATATATCTAGTTTCTCATTCTTTATGACTGAGTGGTACTCTTATATGTGTGTGTGTGTGTATATATATGTGTGTGTGTATATATATACAATATATATACATATGAATATATATGCATAGTGTTCCTCCTCATAAAGAAAGGAAATCCTATCACATCTTACAATGTGGATGAATCTTGAGGATATTATTCTAAGTGAAATAAGACAGTCATAAAAGGACTGTATGTTCCATTTACATGAGGTATTGCAAGTAATCACACTCATAGAAGCAGAAAATAGAAGGATGGTTGCCAGGGACCAGGGGGTGGGGGACATGGACAGTTGTTTAATGCATGTAGAATCTTGGCCATGCAAGATAAGAAAGTTCCAGAGCTATACTGCACAATAACATGCATATAGCCAACAATTCTGGACTGTACACCTAAACGTTTATGAAGAATATAGATTTAATGTTATCTTTACCCCCCACAACACACACATACACAAATGCTGTCCACAAAAATGTACATACTCACTCACTGAGCTTTGTAGAAAACCCAGTGTTCATGACAAAGACCAAGGCCTAGAGTTCAGCAAGAGACACTGTCAGTGGAAGATGACAAAACAAAACACTAACCCACCTACTCTTGTTATTTTAGGATGCACTTCTTGTTTTGCTTTGTTTTAGTACTGGAGATCAAACTCGGGCCCTTGCACTTACAAGGCAGGCGGCTGAAACACTGAGCTAAATCCCCAACCGCAGGATGCCCTTTTAAAAATATATATATTTTAGTAAAAAGACCAAAACATTCTCCATTTCTAGATAACAAGTCAATTAAGTGGTTTTCAAAAAATACCTCCCTGAGTTACCCTGCTGATCACAAGCTCTGGGGGCCACTGTGGACTAAAAGCAGAGGAAGCACAAGACACAGGAAGCCACAGGTTAAGTGTGTGAAGGAAAAAATACCATAGCTGAGGCTACCAGTCTCCTGCCAAGGCCCGCCTTTGCTCTGGCGCCGGGAGTCTGCACACAGAACATGGAACTTGGAACATACCCTGGAACCTGGCACTGTCGCTCCCTTCTTTGTACAGACAACCCTCCCAGTCTGATCAGGCAGCCTGAATCCATAAAGCCGGGCTGTCCCTTGGGACGGCTGGCCATGTCTGCCAAGAGAAGGACAAGAGGGATTTCTCTGGCACCCAGGCCAGGGCCAGACACTTCCCTGCACACTCAGAATCTCAATTAAGTTGGCACACAGTGGGCTCCACTCCAGGGTGGGGGATCACCTTAACAGACGCGTGTGGACCCTGGCAGGCAATTTATTAATTTACTAATGAAAACTACAGCTGTCTTACTGGCAGTTCATGGCCTCCTTTCCCTGAATGTTGAGTGGCCTGGGAAGCCAAATCTGGAGGTGGTTTAATGAGAAATTAGCACAAGTAAAAGTCACCAGATGGTCTTTAAGGGAGTCACACCTGCCACAGAGGCTGCCAGTCTGAGAAGCGGGCACCTCTCTGTGCCCAGACAGGGCATGAGTGGGCATGGCCAGCTCCCACAGCATGGGCTCCAGAGTTAGCCTGCTGGAAGGCCTGGTTCTGCACTGACCTTGGTATGACTCTGGCAGAGCAGCCTGGCCCTCGAAGACTCAGTTTTCTCATTTGTATGGTGGAGATAATATGAGCACCCACCCTGTGGGATCATCGTGAGGATTAAATGAAAGAAGTGACTGTTGATCTAGGCGCAGAGCTAACCTTCATGTTTGGTAACCACCATCGACATTGCTACCGCTATCGCTCCTAACTCTTCTCTGGTTTAGGCTTCATTCTTCATCACAGTTCCTCTTTGTGTTTACTGACTGCCTAGCACTGATCCGATTTCCATTCACTAAAGTGAAAAGTTATTTTAGTCTTGCTTTTGAAACTTAGCAGCCCTGCCTGGAATTCAGAGATCCCCTCAGTGCTTCACGGCACCTTTGCCCAGTCTCAGGCATCAACCATAAGTTTGGTGATGGTGGGTGAAATTCTTGAATGCCAGGGCCTTCCACCGGGAGCAGAGTGGAGTGATTTCATGGCCCACACGCATCCTCATCCCAGCTTCGGCAGTTCTGGGTTCTCGTGCTTGTCCCTGCATCCCTACTTCTTCACATTTCTTAGTGCCAGGACTCAAAAGCAGCTGCAGGGTGGGGTAGGGTTCAAAGTCGGGGCTACAGCAAATGTCTCTGCAGGAATGCGTGTACTTGGTGTAATGGGTCTGGCAGATATAACTTCTAGGCTGTCTGGGATGGGCATTATGAGCCCACATGGGCTGGCTGCTTGAGCAAAGCAACAAAACAAACCAAGCCACATACATGTCTGCTTTTGCATGAGAGCTCAGACCCCTCTGCTCAGCCGAGGCAGGCTTGCCTGGTATCTATCCCCTGGCCTTGTGTTTGGGGCTGGGGGTAGCAGGTAGGGCTCCAAGCCAGGCTTTTCATTGGCCCCTAAACACATCAACCCAGCCCCACCTAACAGCTTTTGCACACAATGTTCTCTCAGCTAAAATGGTCTGCCCTGCTTCCCTCTGCTTGTTAAATCTCACTCTCATTTTCAGGCCTCACTGAAGCCCCACCACTTCCTGGGCCTCTGGATTTCTGGCAAAGCCGAGGACAGCATGGCCCCCTTTCCAGATACCATTCAGAGCTAGCTTCAGTGTCTTTTGTTGTTCCAACCACTTTTACTTCTGATAATGCTTCTGGAGAACAGGAACTCCTCCAGCAGGGATTAGAGCACAGTTACTGGAAACATTGGATTAAACATTTGGAGGTGAAGAGAACGTTTCTCTTTTTGTGTTTGGCTCTTTTATTGTGAAATTTAATGCATGTTCAGGAAAGTGCACAGAATGTAAATGTACAGTTCAAAGAATTATTACGAGGCAAAAATATCCTCTAACCACTACCCTGGTTAAGAACAGGAATACAGCCTGCATGCCCAAGCACCTCCTCCTCCCCTGTGACCTTGGCAGAGACATTTCACACCTGGCGATTTTGTTTTTGGTACCAGGTATTGAACTCAGGACTTGGGCTTGCAAGGCCCACTGAGCTAAATCCCCCGGCCCTCAAACCTGGCAATTTTGTCTTTGTGGGTGCAAGAGAGTTTTTAGAGAAAGTATAATTTCTCTTTCTTTGGGTCCTTGCCTACGTGAGACTGTACAGAACCTGGAGCATCTGTGCTTCACCCCAGCTAGGTTTGTGAGAGAGTCTGAGGTCAGCCCTGTCGAGTGTGGGTTCCTCATTGCTGGCCAAAAGGGAAGTGGCTGCAGACTGGGGCCTCCTGACACTGCAGGGATGCAGGGTGAGGAAGGCAAAGGGGCTCTCCAGAGCTCCGAGCACAGCGCAACTTGCACAATCCAGGAAGTGGGTGAAGAAATTTAGGAAATCCTTTTGGGGATTTTAAGTACAGTATTAAGTATGTGGGAAGGGTGCATCCTCCTTTTTGATTTCAACAAATGTTTGAACTGTGTGAGGTACTGGGTAGGCATGAGAGACAGGCAGTAGAGAACAAAGCAGGTATCAGCCTGGAGTGAAGGGATCCAACCCTGAACCCCCCACCCCAAGCTCATCATGGCTGTTTTACCAAGTATTAACCTGAAGACATTTAAATCTTTTGGTGGATGGTGTAAGATGTCCCACTGGTGACAATCAAACACCAGTGCAGGAAAAGAGATGAAGATGAATGAAAGGGTACATAGCAATGTAGGAGAACTCCGACAAGAAAACAAGGCTTTGGGCAGATCCAGAGGAACAGCTTCATTTTCAGGAGAGTCACCTGGGAAAGATAGACCATTGGTAGTATTCATTGAGAATAATTTGTTCAAATAGGGAAGAATGACTCGAGTCTTTACTTAGACCATTGCAATGCCTTTGCATTTCCAGAGAGAACACTGGTTTAGACAGGTGGAAAGATACCTGCTGCTCTCACACTGGTTTAGG